TCGCAAGCACACTGTAAATGAATTTGTAGATTCAAGACCTGTTTTTAATTGCGAAATTGGTGGCATGAAAATGGTGGTACGACATTAATTTTATTAAACGTGTAAAATACCGCTTTTGCAATGCATATATTAATTTCACTACAACAAAATAGTTTCATTTTCGATCGATTATTCGATGCGATTTTTAAATAAACTCATTCATAATTTCATAGTTCAATATGACGTGTAACAGTGTTGTGAAAAGTTTGATACTAACGCAGCCATGATTTCAGCGGTATTGTATATTTCACTAAAGAGAACTAACTTTCTCAAACTCGTTTCATGAAGTTAATTTGCATTACGAAACTAGTTTATGGTATAAAACTAGTTCCACAACGTAAATCCGAATTTAATATTAGGAAGAAAGTGAACCTGACTAAGTTTTCATCGGTGAGCCGTTCATACAGTGAATTTTTAGGAGGAGACGAGAAATATGAAAATATTCATTTATTTATTTTCTACTACATACGTATTTATTTTTAAGACAGATTAATTATAGAGTTGGTAGAGAAAATATGTTTTAAAGGGGTGAAATACGAATTGCAAGTTTGCGAGCAATGGAAAGATGTTAGTTTTGATCTTAAAAAATTAAGAAATTGTAATTAGGTTTTTTTTTCATTAAGAAATAAAAATCGCCAACCCAATAAACATTAAAGTTACAGACATCATAGAATACACTATGACATTTTATACATCCTTCATGATTCACTATTCCTGAGGACTAAGATTTTATGCCTCCAAAAATAATAACGTCACTATCATGTACTTCATTCTTCAAATCAATATATATATATTGCAATACTTATATGTTAGAACAATTTCTTGGCGACAGAAATAAGAGTAGGACAAAAAATTTCATCCAGACAATTTTTATTACGAAGTTTCCCTCCGATAAGGAAGTAATGACTAATCAATAATTAAAGCTGGCAAATTTTGTACAATAGGGTTGACACTTGAAGGTTTTCGTACGCCTCAAAGTAAAACGTAGATATTTATTTCTAAGGGCGCTCTCCTTGCGGCGTTTGCCCGACTTAATGACGTCAATTTGAATACGACCGACTTGTCGGAATCTCGCCTCTTCACGGTAATGTAAATTTCCCTCTTGCGCCAACCCTGAATGGGGTAGTTTCCTGGTGTTATTTGACACCTGAAATGGGCTGTCAATCAGCCGCGATTGTATCAGAGACATTTGAATGGGAAATTTAGCGATTAGGAAACGTTAGCGTAAATAATTTATGTGTTTTACTACGGTTAGATCGACCGCGCTAAATTACATTAAATCGTAACGAGTAAACATTATTTCTTATGCTTTTAGTTTTATATGAATTCCATAAGCAACTTTTATATAATCTGTTTTTCTATACTTATAAAACAAATTTTATTTCAACACAAACTTAATATTCAAAACTATTTTGTACCTATACATAAATGTAAAGTATAAAGTCAAACAGATAGATTCTGTTTGACTTTATACTATATATACCCTTAAACGAATAGATGCGTAAATAATATATAAGGTTGATGTGTAAATGTACTTATATGAATATAAATAGTTTATCTTCTTCGGTTATTCCGTGGTTGTTCGGCGTTGGAACTTTGATATTTTACATAAAACGACTATAATTATATTGTCAACTGTTTTATATAAAATAGTATTTATTATATTGTCCATTGCACTCAACTACGTTTTTAAGAAAAATTGGTCCATAACGGAATACATTTTATATTATAATATTCAAACACAAGTACGCGCACGTTGGGGGGGAAGGGACTGTTTGCAATGAAGTTAGACAGCCCATTGCTAGCAATATGCCCTATCAGGTCAACCTCCGTATGGTTCCCCTTGGAAACCATCGTGAAGAATTCGTTGAATTCACACAACTACACACACCTTCACTGTGTGTGTGTGTGTGTGTGTGTGTGTGTTTGTGTGTATGTTTGTACGTATATATGATTAGAATTATTTCTAGACGTTAAAAATTTCCACTAATAGGTAGTATTGTTAAAATCAAGCTAGTATACGTTTGATTTAACTGCCTTTTCGGCACATGGAACTATAGCTTAGACCGGTAGAAAAACCTAGAATATTCTATATGAGGAAAACTTTTGGCTTAAAGCCAAAGTTGTAACTTTAAAACCTTGATTGGTGTCGACAGCTTTTCCATAAGCAATTACGTGGTATCCACCAACACACATCGGATAATTACGTATTAATACGGCCCCTCCTCCTCCCTGACTCATACAGGTGACAAAAAAATATTTCTATACTCTCACTCATAAAATATATACTAATAAATATCGTCTAAAATATCCTCATTGGGTAATCAAAGGTTATTTGTCACTACTACCGCCTTAACGGTCCAGCAAATTATCATAAAATTTTGTGTACTATTTGGGATACAGGCTATTTTTTATAACGATCAGTTAACGTATCACATACACGTGGACTGATGCTCACGATTATAATTCCTGCGTTTGTCGACAGTAATAACTTAAAAAATACAGTCAAAATAAAAATCTCTTTTTGAAGTCTATTGAAAAACTATAATAAACAAGGAAACTGGAAACTAGCTTGATAGATACTGTACAAACCTCAGGTAATTGTATCAGACCTGCTGTACGCGACGTGAGCATTCACTGAACACGAATTACGTTTTCCATTTGGACTCTATTTATTTCCTTTTCTTGCTCTATATCTGAGGATAGGAAATCGCAAAGGAATTTCCAACAATTTTTCTTTTCCCAGACATTATAGACGAGCTGATAAATCTACAAACTGATATTCCTTTTTAGTGTATACTAAAAAGGAATATTTATTTATTTAGGAAGTATATTTCATAATCGAGATTTATTAATATTTTGTTCAAGATTAATTTGCGCTGTAAACAATTACGAGTAAATTTCACAATAGCTTGTTTGTTTCAAAGAAATAGTAACTAAAATAAATTTTCCTGTTATTGTAAACAAGAATCTTTGCTAATATTATAAATGTAAATGTGACTTTATTTATTATTACCTCTTAGTGTCTTAACCCTTAAAAGCCTGATTTTTTTAATCAAATTAATAAATATATAAGTGTAACCTTCATTGTATTTACTAATGGAGAAAAATAGTAAAAAAAAAACAAAACGATATTTTTATATATTTATTTTTAAAAAAACACTATATTAAAATAAAATCAATTGAAAAACTATATACTTCAGGTATTTAAGTAAAAAGAAATCACTATGAACATATACGTCATTTTTTTTATCATGGTAACCTAAACGAAGTCGAAGGACATTTAGTGTAAAATAATTTTAATGTAAAATTACATGATGCAGTTTGCACAAAAATTGTCTGTATGGATATCTTTGTCTTATCCGGGTTTCTGTCAAGAAAAAGCAGTGATTGCATGACAGTCTTTTGGTTTCAAGTATAAGACATAGTAGTGAAATTACAGAGTATGGAGGCAGATTTTAGACTTTGTACAAAAGTCGTTTGCTTGTGTACCTCTGTCCCATTCGTGTTTCAACCATAAAGCAGTTGTGTTTGCATGACTGTGTTTCGGTTCGAAGGATGGGATATGGCATGAATTTACAGGGTATAAAGGAATAACACCTGAGTCCTCAGGAATAGCAACGCATGGGAGGTATCATGGGCGAAACAGTATATTCTGTTATGTCCATGGTACTGCTCATTATCTATAGGCGACGGTTACCATTTCCTATCAGGTGGGCCGTCAGCTTGTTTGCCATTCTGAGTTGTATAAAAAAAGAACACCATAGCCCTTAAGAATGGCAATGCATGAAGGGTACCATGGATACGTCAGAATGTTCTATAGTGTATGTGATGTCTATGGTATTGTTCATGTTTATAAATGACGGTTAACTCTTTTAAACAGGTGAGCAGTCAGGTTGTTCCTCATTTTAAGTTTCATAAAATAAAAAAAAAAATACAAAAGTGATCCACCACAAATCATTTCGTTAGATACCGTGTTTGTTGAGCAATCCTATTATTTCGGTCCGTGACCGTACTCAAAGATACTTAACTAAGGAACCCTGGGACCGCTACCGGACCGGACGGGCCGGGACGGGTCGACGTCAGTCGCGGACACCTTGCTGTAATAAATAGTAACTATATAAACTATTCTATTCACTCTAATCCCTAAACGTACATTTTATATTGTTCTAATTTCCAGCAGCATTTGGATGAGTTCATTAAGATGGTAAACGTTGATAGTAATTTTAATTATAATAAGAATTATTAATAGAAAATATTTAATATTTAAACATGAATTTAAAATTATATCTATATTACATACAATAAAATTATATATTTCTTTATTCATCACACAAAAACAGTTTTCAATGTAGTTTTGTTTAATAAATAAATCAGGGATTGGTTCGATATATACTATTATAAATATTACTAGAATATTTTTACTACGATAAAATGTCTTATTCTTATGATAAATTCATTGCACAAAGTCGCAAGCACGACTAGTATGTTTTATATTTATAATTACTTATCAACCCCATTATAGGATCAATTACTTATAAATCAATCGAAAAATTCATAACATATTCTGAACCGGAAGAATCACATACAAATGGTGCAAGTTAATAAAAAGCTCGTAAAAATAAAGGTCATTGTATATTGGTAAGCAGAAGCGTAAATGTACTTAAGCGTATATTTCTTGTCCTATATAGCAAGTTATAAATTCTTAATATTATTGATGCATTTTACATATCATTCTCATTTAATGCCTACAGTTTAAAAACGCAGTGTAATAATTTTTTATATTTATCCTCCTTCATTTATGAATCTTGAAATATGCACTCATACCAATATACCAGACTTGACGATGTAATAATGCGATTATAAATTGAATCGTTCGCGATTTTATTACAGTCAATTCTTGAGATAGCTTAGAATTTTATATAGATAAAGGCTACATGATACTAATACTATTGTTGCAGTGGACACAACAGCTCAATACGACGCAGTGCGAGCATACCTCAAGGAGTTGGATATATCTAGCGCTGTGTGGGTCGGTCTCATCCGAAGTAATCCCGATGGGGACTTTACGTGGACGTAAGTACGGACTGTTTAATTCATGAGCTTAGTCGGCTATCTCCAGATACATATCGACGGCAACCGTAATACTTACATTTGTATTGCTTAAATCTAACCGCTACTAATTTACATGTTGAATGCTTTTTCCGAATACCCTTTGCTCGTGACTTCGCTCTGTAGGAATTTTGATTATAAATTATAACACATAAAATTAAATTAAAGTAAAACAAAACTTATGCTCATTTTCCACGTAACTAAATTTCAGCTAAGTCTATTTAGCAGTTTGTGCGCAAATTCTACTGATATTGTACAAGTAGATGTAAAAGTTTGTAAAGATGTTTGGGTGTTTGTCTAACATATTACAGTACTAACTAATATACTGACAAAGCTGTTTAAAATAGCTAGTAAGTAATATTAGGGAAAAATCAATTTAAATTTTTGACACATTAATTAGGTATTTATTCATTTATCTACCTTTATCATACATTTCGAATGGAGTTGGCAGAAAAATCTAAATACAAAAACGTATTTTATACCTCATGTAATTTTATAGGACGTTCTGTAGTCATATGTACAGAAGACGTTTTGAAAATTTGACTCTTACCACAAATTGCATGAAATATCTATTTTATATCTATCTAGGAATTTTCCAGTAACTTGCATTCTTCGTATTGTATTTTTAGTAATATTTTATCTGAAATTCGTTTCACATTCCAGAATAACTTCCAACATAACATGTGCCTTATTATTTTTATGCCCACATTTTCATATTCACTTTGGCCTACGAATTTTTACCAGCTTACTTATTCTACTTCGCTGATTCTGCAATGTATTCTATACCTACTATATATTATTACATTACAACAGCGACTATCGAGGGTTAAGCAGTGATGGATATTGGAGTTCTGCGCCTGATCCAAGGGCAGCTCCGCTGTGTGCCGCTGCGGACCCTGTCGCTGATTACCGTTGGGAGGCAAGAGCCTGTGGTGGACCCACTGTGGCATCCTTCATCTGTGAATTACCTGGTAAAACAATAATTAATATTATTAATATTATTTGAAATACATGTATTGTATGTTTTACTTAATAATATGGGTTTTGACTTTATTGTGTTACAAGTTATATGAAAAAATCAATAATAATAATCTTAACCAAATTAGCACAGCGGTTGATAACAATTGTTAAAAATATTGCAGAGCAAGCACGTTACATACATATGATATACAGTACATATAACATTGCAGCAGTTCATAGGATATAATAACCATTTACATTTCATATGCTTCTTTACTATCTTGGGATATATAAAACATTAACAATAAATATAATTAAATATGTGGTATAAATGTAACTCTCTTACTTTTGAGGGCGGTTAATAGTAATTATGTTGCTTAATTAATAAACTTTGTAAATAATATTGTTCACAGTACCACAATGGGCGCTCGGAAATGAAGGTTGTATGATACGAGCCCTGCCAGCGCTCACCATTCTATATTTACCTGAGAGTGCGTCTGTTCAGCTAACCGCAGACTGTGGGATGGCCGGTGTAAAACGAGTTCAGTGTACAGGAAATGTGGTATGTATATTTTAATTTCATTTATAAAATGCCGTGTTTTTAAAGCAATAACAAATTGTTTTATTTGGCATATTTTTTTGACAGAAACGCGAAGATTTGTTAAAAGATCTATCATGTGCTGAGGAAGAAGAACAATCTACTACTTCTAATGTAATTACTACAAGTGTTACCTGGCCCGTGACTACTGATACATCATCCACAGATCAAGATATAATTACAGAATTAACAACAGAAGAAACTATTACTACTGAACATGAAGATGATATAAATCAAGTAGATATGAAATCATCGGCAATTCCGTATAATCTTCATTTAGAAACTGGTAGTAAAATTCTACAAAAGCCAGTTGTCAATAAAGTGAGTCAAGTTATCCTTAATAAAAATATCAACTTAGAGGCAATGCACAGTAATAACTTGCAAAGTAACGAGATCCCAAAGATTGCTTCTCATGACAGTTATTTGAATAACGATGAAAATGAGAAAATGGAGGATGAAAAAAATAAACAGCATAAAATTTTCCATGACGAAATTGCTCGACTTGGCAACTTTGAAACAATATTTACTCAACCTACCGATCATTTTGTTCCTCCATTAGTAATGGCAAGATCTAAGATAAGTGATGATATGACCGTTTTGTCTTTAGAAGAAAAACATGCACAACAACTAGCAGAGCAAACATTTGGAAAATATAAGACACAACCCGATGACATTAATCATTCTCAAATCAATTATAGTACTAGCAGAAGTCCAACAGAGTATACCAGTAAATTTACAGCTACAGATATGCCATTAATAATGACTATGAATCCTATAAAAATAAAGGATACAATAAAAAAGGAACCTAAAAACAGTGTACCTAAAAAGTATATTGACAAACAATATGACTTAAAAAGTAAATTATATAAAGTAATAGATACCAAACAACATAAGATAGCAAAGTCAACAGAAATAACTTCTATTCAAACTGAAAGTACAGTCCAAAATACGGAAACAACAACTAAAGTAGCATATAAAGAAGATAAACAAAATAAAATTGATGAAGATCCTTCTATAGATCTTACAGTTATAATTAGAGATTTTGAAGATTCTAAAACCTATGCTGGAGATGTACCGAAAATTGAAATAATTGAAAATGACACATCTATTACAAATCCTGAAATAAAATTTAACACAAATAATACTTCAGGTGAAAAGCAACAAGAAATCTCAGTGAAAATACCTGCATCTATTCAAAATTCAACATTAACTCACGAAATTATTAAAATAACCATTATTAATGAAGAAAATTCAAGTGCAATTCCAGCTATATTTGAAGTAAGTACTAAAATGCCAGACTTTAATAAAGACTATGAGAATAAATCAACGACCCCAGCTGAACAATTAGTTACAGTAAATAAGGTATCCAATCCCAAGAATCAAATTAATAAAACTTTAAATAATAAGTCTTCTTTCAACATTACAAATGTTCAAGAAACCACTATCACTATACCAGCAAGTGAATCTGTAACACTGTCGACTATGAAAGATAAAATATATGCTCAAACTACAGAGAATTCTTCACCTACTACGAGTGAGGTTATAACCTCAACTGAATCTCAAATTATTACTACAACTTCAGAAAAAAATTATACACACGGTACAAATAACAATACTTCAGAAGATACTACTATAACGAGCATGTCCGAAGCGACAACAAAAGAGATTGATGTTGAAGTTACGGAAACTTCAGAATTTGAGCATAATACAACAGACACATCAGAAACTATTGACGATTTCCAATCGCCCCTGCTTTCTGCTGCTAATGAACCATTACATCGACCAAATAGATCAAGAAGACCACAACAACCATTAAATCGCATAAATAAATTCAATCCATTCCGTATCTTAGGATAGATCCGTCAACATGTGTATAATAACTTCGACTGCCATATATGAAATTCAAATTTAATGACTGAAAATTCAAAAGTATCAAATGGCTCATATACATTTTAATTTTATGATTAAAGTACTTATTTTATTTTACGAAAAATTAAACTTACTTCGGTAATATAATTATTTATTTTCAATTGTGGCGCCAAATATAAGTCTTTAAAGGCAAGTCTTTTAAGGCAAGTATTAATTTATTATTATATATTGTAAACATTTAAAATCACAGCAAAATAAATTCAATGGGCCACGATTGAATTAAAATCTCTAGGTGTAGATTTAATATTATAATTGCAATTGTATTTGTGAAAACACGGTGCACTTAGTCGAGTCCCGATTTGTGTTGTCAGATTATATAGACTATTATTATATATACACTAATAGTTATGTTATTCATGCACAATTGAATTGGTATATAATTATTAAAAAGTAGCTAGATGTTGATTTTCAATTAATATCAATTTTATGAGCTTGTTTTAAATTACTTTAGCAATTAGGATAGTCAAAAATAATAGTCAGATGTAACTTAGTCAATTCATATATTTGGAATATATAGCATAGCTATATCTTAATGTTTTACTTTAGATCTATTTAAAATTAAGTTGTATCGGATAATTAAACTGACTTTTACATGTTTGCCAAATACAATCTTTCGGGTACATATAGAATTAGATACTACCCTGTATAAATATTATCATCTGAAATTACTTGGTAATAGGTACATACATAGAAAATAGATCATGGTCAAAGGAAAATCGTAGTAGTTAACGAATCACGAACCATATCATGTAGAATTAAGGAATTTAGTATATAGGAAATTATTTTTTTGAGATATAAATTTTGGAAGCTACCTTTAAAGAGCACAGGTAAATTCAATAATGTGAATAACGACTACATGTCCCGGTACCCTAAATATAAACGACAATATTTAAATTCACGATTACAGGGTCCACCAGGAAATGTTTCCGAAATTTCTGAGCCGAACGAAATATAAATTTGATGTTAAAATTACATAATACATACCGTTTAAAATAATAATGTTAAAATATCTTTTCTTTGGACGTTTATGGTAGGACTTATGAGGAACGAAATGTTAACCTCCATTTATTGGGCTGAATTCGGTATGAACAAGAACACGAAAATGAGTCCGAAAATTCGGAATTTCTTTTCAAGCTAGACCCTTAGCCTTAACGCGAAGCGATTACAGACAAATAGTTTCTAGATACCTAATTTTTATTGCCGATTTTTCGGCGTGGTTGCACTACGTCGTGGTCAAGTCCCAACTGTAAATTAAAATTTGTAAACAACACAAAGCTTTAAAATTAACTCAAAACAATGTTACTTTAGAGACATGTAGTCGATATACTAATTATATGTTTTTTTTATTATTTGTCATTAATGTAGCAAATATACATCATAAGGATTTTATAAATAAAATTTAAAATTAAAGTGTATATTTACTTATCAAATTGTAGGCAACCTGCTTTGAAAAGATGTTTTTAGGTACTGCCGTCATTCAAGATGTCATTAAGTAATTGAAGAGAAAGAAAGCCGATAATTTGCTTAAAATAAATTACGGAAAATGGAAATAAGTAAAAACAAGAATAAAAATATTTATTATATGCTCTTGCTGACTGTTACGAAAGTATGAATAGAAATTTACGTAGCTATATTGTTATATAATACAAAATGTATTTAGTTGAATTGCAAATTGAATATATACGATATTTAGGAAACATTTCGTGACATTTTATAAACTTTGTATTTAACACAATCTTTAAATCTAGGTGAATAGGTATTTAATCACAATTAATTATTAATATATTTAGGTTCTTGAGTGGCGATCTCGTGTGGGCAAACGCACTAGATGGAGTAACGACTCAAGTGCATTGTAGGCAGTGGATGCAGGTGATTCAAGACTGTTCCTTATAGCAGTCTATCAGAGAAGCCTATGTTCAGCAATGGACAGATAATGGTTGATATGATGATGTTGATGATTGTATTTTATCAAAATACTGTATTATGTCAATATAAAGTAATATACAGTGATGTAACTGAGCAGTCAGATGTCCTAAGTAAGTCATTCACTAAAATGTCCAAATAGATGAAGGAGTGACGGGCTAAGTTATTGAACGCCCTAAATATGACTAAACGCAATAATTTATCATCATCACCCACACAAATTATTGAACGAACTAAATATTTCAACGAGGGCTAATTGTACTTGTCTATTTGAGTCACTAATGTTTTATTTCATTTAATTGGAAATTTTTAATCAAACTAATTATTTACATGTAAATAATCTAGTTTCTTGCACAATATTTATAAATTTTTAGATTTTTTTATTAATACACATATCAAAAAATTTTATTATATAAGGAAATCCTGTGCAAAATTTTTGAATCCAGTAGTTTCGGTTTTGCGTTGATTGCTTTTTAAGTTTTTGTTTTATACCACAAAGGTGTCAAACAACCATACAGCCTGTCTGATGGTAAATAGTCACTGTAGCCTATGGACACCTACAATACTAGGGGTGTCTAGGGATGAAGTAATCTTAATATATCCTTTTTGAAGAACCCAATAGTAAACCTCTTCTAGGGAAGTGACTTCTAAAAGAAATAAATAATCAATTTATTGTATTTTATACCTATATTACCAATTACAATTTATAGGGTTTATTTCCATGTGGGTCTCCTGTAATTTTGTGACTAATAACTGAAACTACCGTTTCTTACAAAGAGCAATAAATTGCTTGTTCCGAAGCAAAAGTAACTTCTTTCCTTCAATGGCAATCGGTTGTTATTTTTACGGCCATTTCTGTCAGCATCATGTATAATAAATAGGTAATAGTAATTTCCTCCGATCAGATGAATTTTTAATAATAATAAGTAATTGTTTCTCTCATGTTATATAAATATATAGAATTTTATATTATATACAATACAATTGTGTATATTTATATATTCCGCAAGAATTTTCTCTCTATAAGATGTATAAAGTTCAAAGATAACAATACCTAGAAATTTAATAGTATTTTAAAGCTAACATTGCTTTATATTCATGGAACACCAAAAATCAGCTTGGACAAACACGGTTCCGCGCTCGAAATTCAAATAATTGAAATCTTACGTAACCAACAAAACATCTCATAAAACATTATTAAAGTCAATATTGTTCTGCAGAGTAAAGTTTAGTAAGCTGTGGTCTTAAACAATAGCTATATCAATATAGTTAAAGCAGGTAAATCATAACCACGAAAACAAAATCTAGAAGAAAATCCATGAGTTTCAAGCCACTTAACCACAGTTATTTGCAGTACATTTTGCAGCCATCTCGCTCAACTTATTCGCGAACCGTCGATTAGAAGTTACTTCTCAAGAACGCTTATCAATATTACTTATATCAACTTCCAGAAATTTCCAAGTTTGGACATAATCCGTTACGAATTCTCCTGCGTCATCGAAAAGTTATATGCAAACATTACTTTACTTCTAACATTTGATTGGTTATACGCCTACTCGTAATACGCTCAATGGGATTTCGCAAGAACTAATTCTATGCTAACTTTCATCCCAACCCGTAATAAAGTTTTGAAGTTTTTTCTTAATGCTCAGTATATACATATTAGCTTTTATTGATTTTTAAACAGTTATACTAGTTGTTGTCTACAACTTTGTATGTGTGGATTTTTTAGTTAAAATAAAACACACACATTTGATATCAACAAATCAAAGACAAAAGTCATGCTCGTCGATAGAACCAGCCAACTATCTAGGACTGGTGAACTCTCTGATCTGGAGTTTGTGAGTGAGTTCGTCTACCTGGGATCTCTCCTGACCAACGAAGAAGGAAGCGAGCGAGAAATTAGAAGAAGGACTCAAATAGCAAAGACCGCAATGAACAAATTAACTTGCATTTGGCAGAACAGAAAAATCTCAAATGCCACCAAAATAAGACTAGTCCGTACTTTGATTTTCCCGATATTTTTGTATGGAGTCGAGTCATGGACAATAAGAGCAAAGGAGCGAAAAAAGATTGATGCTCTCGAGATGTGGTGCTGGCGAAGGATGCTGAGAATTCCCTGGACAGCAAAGCGCACAAATATATCTATCCTGACGCGACTCCGCATAAAAGATAGGCTCTCGACGGTCTGCTATCGGAGGATTCTTGGATACTTCGGTCATATTGCTCGACGACAGTCCGACAATCTGGACAAACTAATGGTTGTAGGCAAGATAGAGGGAAAAAGACCACGCGGACGATCGCCTAATCGATGGTCGGACCAAGTGACCGCCGTTACGGGACTGTCGATTGCAGCTGCCCTGCGAGAAGCTGAAGACCGTGTAAAATGGAATAACATCATAAGAGAGGCAACAGACACCTTCCAAGGACACGACCTTCAGTAATGAAGAGGACGAAGAGAGAGAAAACACACACCAATTTTTAAGTTAAACCTTCAACAACTGTAAAAATCGCATTAAACTTGATGCGGTAGTTTTTGTGTGGTACCTAAACCAATATACAAACAGACAGACAGATTGTTAGACACAAAATTTCTTAAAATTCTTAAAACTGAGTGAGACAGAAGATAGTAGGGTAGTAGTAGACAGAAGATAGGAACTTAAAAAATTGACACTCTGATAATAAATTATGGTTGAAATTATTTAATTATTACATTTTTTCATTGCCTGGTCGTACAGTAAAGGAAATATTTGAACTAATTTCTTTCATGAGTAAATGCGTGCGAAGCTGAGGCGGGCTTTGGTTAAGAATAAAATATTTATGCTCTATTTGTCGTTTCTATAACTATTAAAAATATTATATCTTTCTCCTCCCACCGTACTGGTTACGCTTCCAACTCTTTTCTCCTACATTCTTCACGACTCTGGAACGCGCTTCCTGATTTCATTAAGAAACTACCGACTAAACCGTCTTTCAAAAAAAGCGTTCACTCTCACTTTTTATCTTTATCCGAGCAGTAAGTGCTTTATATTATTCCAAAATTCCAAAATCCCAAATATAGAATATATCATATATGTGTAAGTATATTTGTTATTCATATATATTTATTCGTTTATATATGTAATTTTAGTATGTATGTATATCAATAATTAGTAGTACCGCATTCGAGTATTCTGACACTTCCCTATGGTTGACTGGGAGAGAATGCTTTTAGCATTAAGTCCGCAATGTACACATATTTGTACTAATGAATAAATAAATAAATAAAAATATTCTTTGAAAAGTTTTCTACATAAATTTTTTTTTACTCCTATGTTACATGATTATCAGGTACTAGCTATATTAGGTAATGTCTATGTCCACAGCCAATATAATACTATATTAGCTATATCTCTATATTTTAGTTGTTGTTGGATAACAAATGTCAGAACCAATCTACGCACTGACACTGACAATATAGTTCACCAACCATAATATACGAACGCGGCACATGTGTTGATTGGTGCCTACGATACTCTCTAGGGGAGAAAAGGTCCGTAAGTTCAATACAGTTCACGTTATTATACTCGTATTATATATACATTTGTCGGACATTGTCGAAATTATTAGAGTTTCATAATTATTAACCAATACGAAAAAAGGTCAATGCTTATTTGAATTGAATGGATTTACTATCAGGATGGTCATATACTAATAGTATATAAAAACAGAGAAAGAAGCAAAATTATATTTATTCTTTATTTGGCTGATTTTAAGCAAGTGCGATTTCTAATTTTGGTGAGCGTTTTTAGTTTTGAGTCTTCACTAAACTTTATATCATCAGTTAGTATTTTATAAAATAATTTCTTCTATATTTCGGGGGCATTTGATTTTCTGAGAACTCGAAGTAGAAAGCATAGTTGAAAGTTCCCCAGAATTTGATCGCATTTGCTAAAAATCACCCATTTGTTTGGCTATATGTGTGATTTTGATGGAACTTTAAATATATATATTCTGTTATATAGTACAAAGTAAGTATGGTATAAAGGATATTAATTATAAAAGGACAAAAACAATATAAGATGGACAGACAGTAATTGTTGAATGTTTGTTTAAATTAAAAGGTTTATTTTCTTAAAATAAATTAGGAAATAGATTTCCAGGAATGACGAACAACTGACATAATTATTTTTATTAATCATAATTATTTACAATTATCCTCATTGGAGGCCACGTATAGGAAAGTAGGCCGTGGGCTGACCTCCTTCCAGATGGTCCGATGATCTCCGAAAGATAGCAGAAAGGAAATGGATGCAAAAAGGGGAAACTTTATTGTTTGAAAGATATTAAGATTTGGCCTATAATCAGCAGTAACCAGTAAGACGATATTATTAATAAATGGACTTATAATTATGTGAAACTCTGTATATTTTTTATTTCTGTAATATTACCAGCAACTGCACTTTTCTATTAATTGAACCTTTCCTTAATTACAGGTTAAGTTAGTA